GCAATCGATGGAGCAAGTCTGCAGTAGTGAACTTTAATGTTTGAATAAACCCTTGATCCATCGGCTAGATCACTGCCGTTTCATTGGCTGGTGAGAACTCCAGAGTGACGGCTTGGAGTCACCTTGACCATGGGCTAGGCAAATATACACGATGGAGACAACTTTCCTGCCTTGCCTTGTCTTCCATTAGCATTGTACACAATGGGAAGTTGTCGAACGCCTTTGAAAAACGTGGGTGCATTGATTTTTCTATTACCAACAGCTTCAATTTCTCATCTCCTGCCTTGTTTGCACCCACCAGCATAGTGATGCGATCTTTACTGCGTTTTCCTGCACTACAGGCTTCGCCTTTGAAGGTCAGAGTCTTTGATGGAAGCGCCTTATAAAAAAGACCCGTCTCGTCGACGTTTGAGACTTCTCGTGGCTCAAAGCTCATCAAAATTTCCTTGAGCCGCCCCTTTTGCCAGTCGGTGCAAATGTCCCTGTTGACTGCAGCACTCTAACCTGAGATTGCTTTGAAGACTAGGCCATGGCGTGTTTTGAAGCGGCTGAGCCATCCATCACTTAGGACGAAGTTCTCAACACACGTTTGCATGGCGATTTTTCGAGCTTTCTGCTCGAGAATCGGTCCACTTGTAGGCCAATTGGAACACCGTGCACGCTTGAACCACAGAAAAATAACTTTTTATAGTTGTTCATAAGGCGTCGTCCGCATCCGTTTAGATGTAAAGGTCCCGTTTTTTACAGCGCCTTCAATCTTTTCTCTGTCTTTGAAAATCCGCGACAGCGCCGATTTCGGGATGTATTTTTTCGCCACTTCTGCCAGGCCGCCTCGATCGAGCTCCTGATGAATTTTAAGCTTTTTTCTTTCAAGTGAGAGTGCATGGTGCGGCCGCGTCCTTTCCATAGGGCTGAAATAACACCATGATCCACCGCACTTAGCAGCACAAATAGGCCTAACACACAACTGACTCGCCGACTTGGCTCTCGCAGCCAACACAAGCGAGAATGGCTACTGGATTGGCTTGTCTCGAGGTACTGTCATGGTTGTGAGACTACCTTTGGCCTGAGCGAGTCTATTCTGTGTTTAGAGTTTGTGCCGTTTAACCGTAAGTGACCAGTAAGCACTGTTTTGATTAACCGATGAATTTTCCTGTGCAACACATTGAATTCCAGCCATATGAGCCCGTTTAGTTTCATTAATGAGGCATTTTAATTTAAGCGTAAGTTTCGTTTATCAGGAGTTCACTTAGCAGGTGTGATCGCAAACAAAACATTAGTTGCAAGTAAGCGCTGTGTGTGTGTGTGTCTCTTTTGTGTCTTTATCGTGGTGCGCTATACCCATATAAACGACAAACCCCTGTCAAGTCTCCAGGAGACTCCCGAACTTCGACCGTTTCTTCTGTTTGTACGGTTGTCATTAAAAACCTCCCGGGAATCAAAATTTCCATGTGTGATCTGGTCGCATTGACAAAAAAGCAGCTCAGTCCACTCCAGGCTTTTCAAACCTACCCCGTTTGATTACAAATTATTTTAAGAGGCGTTAATCTAAACGTACAGTAGAATATCCGTGATGCGTAACCGCGGCAGATATGAATGCGTGAAATTCCTCAGCGAAATTTCACTATGTCTATTGGGCCTAAATTTGAATGTTCCGAACATATTTCCTAATTGCAGCAGGTGATACAAACTTTAGTACGGAAACCATCAAATGAAGGCCGAGAGCAGCGTACTCAGAAGCTTCCGAAGTATGTGTGCGAACGGCGCACACGCTATCTACAGTGCACGTGATTGTCGTTGCCACTACCGCTGTGGACGAAACCGCTGTCGGTCTTGACACAATCATGTATCGTGATGATGTAATTGGCAGAACCCCGAAAATGTGCACACGTCCAATGCTCAACCAGTCAAAGCAACGCTGCTTTCAACAAACTGTGCGGACATAACCGGAGCAGATGCGATTGTAAGTGGCATAAAATGACTGTTTTGAAAGCGTGTGTGCAGCCAAGTGCACAGGGATTTAAAAAGCAACTGCCGTTTGTCGCAACTACCAGGCACAAAACAGCGATCGCGGCGACGCGATAGCGATCTACGACCTCAGCGGGCATACGGCTAACTCAGCGGTAGATTGAAGGCAGTAAATACGTGGGGGGAAAAAAAGGGCCAGACGCGTTTTGGCATTCCTGTCAAATAAATCTAGTAGTGAGCAAAGCTTTCAGCCACGCTTTTGCAGCAGCCAGCTGCGCTGTCCTGTCCGTTCACATGTGTTCCAGGAAAGCATATGCAACTTCTTTGACGGAAATAGATTCTGATAAATCATGATCCTTTGAGACTCTCTAACCTTAGTGGTAAAACTTACCCTTGTGTTTGGCTACTCCAAGCCGCAATGCTGATGTTGGCGCTTGCAATTGAGACCCGACTCCCACTTTTTCTTGTTTTTCGTGATGCTTTTTTTGTTTGCCCTCGAGCTTTTTTTTTTTTTTTTTGTGCTGAAAAAAAAAAAAGGCCAATTAATTCACTGCAACTCCCCCCTGTTGCAGAAATCTCCCCGATTCAAAATCCTTGAACTTGGCTGGTATGTAGCGAACATCACTGGGGAAGCCGGAAAGGCCCAGAGATGAAAAAAGATTGTTTCTTGGAATTAGTCGTGCACCCCATAGCTTCTATGTCGCATGGTAGATTGTGATGGCATTCTGGTCATGATGCATGGGCTTACTAGAAATATTTGAACAAAATATTGAAAAGGGGCCTTCTTCTGGCACATTTGGCAAATAATGGGGTAATGATCACATTATCCAAGAGCTGCCAGATTTGGTATAGTCTTCATAAATTTACTTGAGATAACGTAATTTCGTACCTTAGTCATGGCAGACATTGGCTTGAGTTGCTCTTATGCTAGTGAAACTGAGGTTAACGTGTAGTGGCATTGTAGTGTTTTTTAAGTGGCTGAAAGGAAACAACTTGTCACTTCTGAAACCAACCCATAACTTCCACATTACACGTCAAGTAAACTTCCATTGGGCTGTGTTGACGGCCGTGTTGCATATGTAACCTAGAAGTATAGACGGCCTCACTTGTGGCGTTGGTGAATGTAGAACATTGTTGCGCGATCGCATCATGTAGTCATGAACATAGTGTGGAGGTTGTTGGTTTTTCTTGTATGAGAGCTGTTTCTTGATCCACTTTACCTGAACATTTTACTCCTTGCAAGCTCTATAAATAGCATCTTCTGCTTTCCTTTGTCATCGTGATATGTCGCTTTCATCTGGTTATCAACCTAAATTGGGCACCTTAGTTCTCTTTAATGTCAATTTTATGTAGGTTTATATTCTAAGAGTCAGAATAGATGGAAGAGCTACTCATTTATGACCTTCCCCTTTGTGTTGACTTATTTGCTTTGTCTTTACGCCGGTAATCTTGAATTCTATGAACATTGTTTTAGAAAACAGTGCCAAGATTTCAAATAAAGTGGATTACCCTCACTTGCGTGTCAACTGCTACTCCATGAACATTGTTTTAGTAAGCACTAATGTTCAGCACATATTTAGAGTTGCAGTCAAACTCCACTACAAATAAACTTGACGGTGTGGAAAAAGTTTCATTGAAGCACAAATTTCATTGTAGTGAGATAGTAAAAACTTGAGCTAGCGATACGAAATAGTAAAGACCTGAGCTAGCGAAACGGGGGAACATTTATTCCCAGAATTCAATAACTGTCGGCTGCTTCCTTTTCTTTCCTAGCAGTGTCGTGATGCAATTCTCATGCATGCTGGCGGCACCATGTTGAAAAGCATGCTGAAACAACGGCCACTGCGGCTTTCGTGAATGAACGATTAATTGCGCTAACATGCTAACTCCAGCAACTCTTCGCCATCAAAAGCTATCCAACAATGCTCGGATAGAGGAATGGTATCGTGGAGTGGTGACTTTTCCATATTCTATGCTATTATTATTTATCCACTTGTGGCGGCTGGCTGATTCTGTTGATAACGTGGACGAACAGCCGCTCTGGCCAGCGACTGCACTGGCCAAGCACAAAAAGAAGCAAAGGCAGTGGCATTGCAAAAAACCATCGTTCTAAGTTTGCACCTAGCAGCAGAGGCGTGTAGAAAACTATAAACTGAGCTTCAGGTTTGGATTGTCTACAGCTCAGAAGCAAGCCAGTGGCAAAAGGAGGGCAATCTTATTGCCATCTATCGAGCAATTGTGCTTATAAACCATGGCAGTTTCTGGTCATGCTAATAAGTGTTTTTGGACTTCGTAGACCAATTTCTATGTTTTGAAAATGCACCCCGCCACGATGGTCTAAGGCCTAAGGTACTCAGCTGCTGACCCGCAAGTTGCGAGATTGAATCCTGGCTGCGGCGGCTACATTTTCGATGGAGGCGAAAATGCTGTAGGCCCGTGTACTCGGATTTGGATGCACGTTAAAGAACCCCAGATGGTCTAAATTTCCGGAGCCCTCTACTGCGGAGTCTCTCATAATCATACGGTGCTTTTGGGACATTAAATCTCGCATAGTCATCAAATCAATGTTGTGAAAATGCATTAAAATGTTCAAGATTGTGTTTACTGCATGCCATTAAATATCTTGAGTCTCCAATTGCATAGTCTAATTTCACGGAAACAGAACGACAGTAGAAAAAGTGTTCGTTGTGGTGAGACTATATATGCATTGACTCCATTGGATTGCTGACGGGGGATAAAGAATTTTTTGTTGTAGATAGGTTCAAATGTACTACAACCTCAGGTACATGATGTTACTTTCTTGCATTTGCTTAGTCTCTGGTTTAAGGGAGTTCTGGTGTAGTGCTAGTTGTGGAAAGGTAGAATTTTGATCTTGTAGTATGTGCTCTCATTCTAGTTCCCGTTACCATGAAATGTAACAGGACCAATTTATTATGTAAACATTATATTTGTGCTGAGCAATTGAGACGAGTTCTGTAGTGGGAGTTCACGGCATGTGATGTTGCCCCCTCTCCCCCTTTTTATTTCTGCAGGATCATCAGGGCTTTCCTCATCGAAGAACAGAAGATTGTGGCCAAGGTGCTTAAAGCAAAGCAGTCCGAGGAGCCAAAGAAGGCATCAAAGAAGTGAAGTGTCATGACAGAGAGAAATGCATAAAAGATTTGTAAACTGTCTGAGTGCACTTTTTCATACTTCAGGAGTCTGAGCTATGGAAACTAGGATTGGCATTACTCGATCTTTTAACAGGCACTCTGAGAATATTTTACAACGTAAAGACTGTCCACCAGCCATAAAGTCGGAGGTTCGAACACTGGCAGGGTTCGTGCAGGTATTTGAAATCTTTGAAAACTATTGAATTTAAAAAAGTTAATTTTCATAGCCTTGAAAGTGCTGGAATTCTACCAAATGCTTGAATTTTTTTTTTTTTTTGAACATTGTCGGACATTTCACACTGCATTATTTGTGAGGCTCTAAATGTAGCAGGGAGCATATGCAGTGATGGAAGTGCTGCTCCAAAAGAGAAATGCTGCTTCATGCTACTCCAAAGTGCAATATTTGCTAGTAACTGCTCCAAAAGGATGTTTGCTAACTAAAAAGAAGGAAGTTGAACCATGGGACAATCCTGTGAGCCTACACGAAAGCAATCTGTATACACTACCATTCTAGTATGCTACTCAGTGGCGTAAATCCAGAAAAATCTCTACGGGTGACACATATCGGGCCATAGTGTCCAATTAATATTTTTAATATGGGTTGTATTTTTATTTATATGAGCAATTGCATTGTTCTATTCAGTCTGTTTTTCATCTTTTTTTTTATTTCCATAGTTCACACAGCTGAGGGGCATTTAACCAGGTATGCAGTAAAAAAAAGCCTTTTAAAAAGTTGATACGCTGTACTTAACTGTCAACTAAATTATATCACATGCTAAAGCTAAATCTCAAGTGGGACACTTGCAAAGGGTGTCCTCCCCAGCCTGAACACCAGAAGTCCAAACTCTCTTGACCCCCTCCCCCCCCACCCATGATGTACACCAACTATACAACTTGCATACTAGCATACAGCCTTTTTTTAATAATAAATATAAATATTTATTAGATGCTTAGATGATGGTTTAGACTTCAGAAGTCTAAACCATCAGGAACATGCATCCGCTCTGAAAACACCAAAAGCAACCCTAAGCTACAGCACTTTTTTCTGCTCCGAAGACACTTATGGGTGCTCCAAAGCGCCATTTTTTCTGCTCCAAAAAGCAAAATGTTGCTTGCATCACTGCGTATGAAATGTACCAGTCGCAAAAGAATTGAGAACATCAGTAGATTCTGCACGGTACCAACACCATGCATTTTTGGAAGCGTGAAAAAGGCTGGAGAAGGAGGATGAGAAACAAAAAAAATCACAGCATATCCACGGAGTGAATGATGATGAGTGGGACGAAGCGTCCGTACGTGCATCCATCTAGTGAACGCTCCAAGTACCGCCATCCGCATCCCCTGTGGCACATACCTGCTCTAGAGCGGGTATGTGCCACCAGTGGCTATGTACATCACCAACCATAAACCCAATGGCATGTACAGATCCACACCCTAAGGAGCTTCGCCCTAAAAAAGAAATGTTGCATTGAGGAGGTCGAAATGCTAACGAAAAAGAAACTAGAAGCCACTGTTGAAGAATTAACAGCTATAGCAGAAAAGGCAGAGACAATTAGCAACCTGATGTGCATCAAGTCGGAGCCTTAAGGTGACTGCTAAAACAAAGCAGTAGGAGATAGTGGATATTGATTTAAAAATTCAGAAAAAAGCAACAAGGCATTCTGTAATTATTGTTCCTTAGTCTTTTTTTTATCTGAATAAAAGTTTGCACCTTGTGCCATACTGAAAGCAGGGTTCGTAGCGGTCCTTGAAACCCTTGAATTTCAATATGGCATTTTCAAGGCCTTGAAAACCCTTAAATTTGTTTGAGGTCCTTAAAAAGTCCTGAATTTCGTCAGCCAAAGTGTTTTAAGCAATATTTTAGTGGATTTCTTTCTGCTTGCCTAGCAACTAAGTGCTCTCAAGCCATATTCATTGTGCCATATTCGCTAGGCACAATGGCGGCGTTTTGTTATTGTTGATGTAGTGCGGTGCGGCACCGTTCAGGTGGTCCAGCGGCGGTGTGCGCGTTTTCATGGGCCTCGCACCTAACCGTGGCGTACTGCAGGTGTTCGACAGCATCCATTCATTGTGCCGCATTGTTAGCTACGCGATTTTCCTCCGGTGGTGGTTGTAACCAGGTGTCTGAACATAAAACCACGGAACGAGCGCGCATATATGTACTCCGAATTCGCAGCGTCCGTCAAAATTATGCTGAAAAGCCATCATAGAAGATAACGACTGTGCTCAGGAATTCATTCAATGAATGCCTTGCAGGTTAGTGACGGTTATGCGGTGTTGCTTCTTATGACAACGGACGATGCATTTGCGGTCCACAGGCCCTTATAAGACTGTAATCTAATCTTGCTTTTCATGTTTCTGTACATGCTTCTGCGCATTAAAGTTCCTGTTCTTCTTTGCTTAAGATGCTCCCTCTTCGCAATATTGTCTGTATTGTAGCAAAACTCGTTAAAATGTCTACACGCACCTGCACAAGGTAACTAGGTGCACCTCACTAGATGCGCGTGCTTGTGCATTCAGAAGCTGACAAAGCCGTTCGAACGATGTTGACCTTTTCTCACGCATTACTTCGGCTAACTTTCCCACCTTTCGCCCTAACGCGATCCTGGTCTCCGTTCTCCGTAGCTATACTAGTGCGCGTGAATCACGCTGGAGACGTGTTCCCACGCACTTTTGGGTGGTCTTCCCGGCAGTTTCTTCTTCCTCTCTATACGCACTGCATACCGTGTTACCCCTTCGTATTTGGCCCGATATGTTTTGGTTTGCAATACTCCCGTCCTGGACTCAAACAGTAGAGAACTACCCCGAGTATATTATCATAGATCCTTTCCTTGGCAATTTCCTGCTTAAAAGTTCGATAGATCTCTAGTGCGGACATCTTAATCATGCCAATTCTCCACATGTCAGTCTCCGTTTGCTTCACTTTCTTCTTAACCGATAGTTCTTTTTGATTTGGCCACCTGCCGTTTTCTAAGTATTTACCAGTCAATTTCCTGGTTCGCTTCCTCCATTTTGTATCGACATTCTTCATGTACAAGTAGCTGAAAACCTTCCTAGCCCACCGCTCCTCTCCCATTTCTCTCAATCGCTTCTCAACTTTTATCTTGCTGCTAGCTTCCCTGCCCTCAAATGATGTCCATCCCATATCACCTTGTACTCCCTGATTTGGTGTATTCACGTGAGCTCCTAAAGCAAGCCTACCTATTCCACGTTGCTTAATATCTAATCTTGCTTGAACTTCTGATCACATGCACAAGACCGCATTGCCGAACGTCAGCCCAGGAACCATGACCCCTTTCCATATTCCTCTCACAACATCATACCTATTGTAATTGCACAGTGCCCTATCTTTCATGACTGCTGCATTCCTGTTACCTTTAGTTGTCACGTATATTTCGTGTTCCCTCAGATACTCGGTCCCATTGCTTATCCATTCGCCCAGATATTTGTATTTATCTGTTATCTCTAGTGTGACCTCCTGTATTCTAAGCTCACTACCTTCGTTATCATTAAAAATTATGACTGCTGATTTCTCCTTATTGAATCTAAAATCTAACCCATCTCCCTCATTACCGCAGATGTCCATCAATCTCTGCAAATCTTCCTTGTTGTCGGCCATTAGCACTATATCATCTGTGTACATTAGTGCTGGTAGTGCCTGATCAATGAGTTTTCCTTGTTTGACTAAAGAGAGGTTGAAGCCCAGTCCACTTCCCTCTAATTTGGCCTCTAATCCTTGTAGGTACATCATGAATAATAAGGGTGACAGGGGACACCCCTGCCTAAGCCCCCGTTTTACCTCTGCAGGCTTGGATACCTGTTTTTCACACTTTATAACTACCTTGCTACTTCTATAGATTTCCTTTAAAAGATTAGTGACTCCATCTTCCACACCCAGAGTGTCTAGTATTTCCCACAAGTCCTCTTGAACCACGCTATCGTACGCTCCCTTGATATCCAGAAATGCTAGCCACAGGGGCCCGAGTTCCTTTTCTGCTATTTCGATGCACCGCGTCAGTGACAACAGATTGTCTTCCAACCTCCTGTGTTTCCGAAACCCATTCTGCAGTTCCCCCAGCACCCCCTTATCCTCTATCCATGCCTGCAGTCTTTCCTTTATAATCTGCATCGCCAGCCTGTAGACCACTGATGTCACTGTTACAGGACAGTAGTTGTTTATGTCAGCTTTGTCCCCCTTTCCGGATGAGGTAAGTTGCAGTGCCACGGGGCGCATAGTGCCAGAAACCAATACCAGAAAGGGCGTGCTGGCGCTTCACTCGTCAGTGAAATACAGAAGGTCGTGGTTTCAACAGCCGTTGTTGTCCGCGTGGCCGAATTGATAAGGCGTCTGATTCCGGATCAGAAGATTGAAGGTTCGAGTACTGTCGTGGACGGTTGTTTTTTAGCTACTGATTTTCTTCGTGGTTTTTTCCCACGAGGATACGCCATCCACACTTCGGTTGTTTCAGTCGTAATGTCTAATGTGCAAAGTAACGATAAACGTTCATGCATTACCACGGACAATGTTGTCATTGTGCTTTTTAGAGCAATTTTCAATGAATGCGATGAACTCGTATGAATAGCTTTTCAAAAAAACTAAAAATAAATTTTTTGTTATTCAAACTTTACGACCATGACGGGACTCGAACCTGCAATCTCCTGATCCGGAATTAAAAGCCTTATCTATTAGGCCACGCGGACAACCTGCTCACAAGGCTTGTTAGTGCTTTTTATACATCTTTGAAAATATGACCTTTTTAATATATACACGAATGGTGGCGTTTGAACATTGGCAATGACAAACGCGCATTTCCACAGTGGTAATATTATCGTTACAAAGCTCAGTGATCGGGAACGTTTGCGCGACCTAGAAGTAATGAAGTAAAACTTCCTTAGCGAACTTTGCTAAGGTGTATATGTGTTGTCATCGTCGTCACTTGAAAGACGTGGCGCTATATTTCATATACATACGGGAACTAAATATATATATATATTGTGGGCATTTGTAACTTACATCGTCC